TAAATATATGTGTATTGACGCTTCTAACATTTGAAATTTTATTAAGTAAATTCTTTCTTATTTTTGTTAGTATTACTGATTTAGTTAATTTCATAATTTGGAAAATTTTTGTGAATTTTCATATCTTCAAAAATGTTATATTTTTTCAAAAAAGAAGATCCAGTAAAAAAGGGGAAAATAATACTTTCAAATGAAAAAAAGTATTAATAAATTTAAATTTATTTTTCTTTTACTTTTCATTTAATAAAATAATGGAAAAATATAACACAAAGTTTACAAGTGAATAAGTTATGTAGTGATATTTCTTATTTGCATTTTTTTTCTGCAATCTTTTCAACCTAGGATAGAGGAGAGGAAAATTTCTTTTTTCATGTTAACTTTTTCCCAGGAAAAAATTTTATATTTTATTAGTTCCAACTGATTAAGTGAAAGGAAACCGGATATGAGGGAAGAAAAATAGCGAAATGAATTCAAGAATTCATTTTCGGGATAATCAGGAAAAGTGAAATTGTATTAAGGACTAATACAATAGAGCTAATTGAATGTGACATAAAAGGACAGATAGCTTCTATTCATTCTAATATTTTGTCGATAATTTTACTCTATTTTTCATCTCCTAATTTGCCTTATTACATCTTTTCTCCAAGTTAATGTAATTTTAAAACCTCATTTTATTTTGCTTTTCTTTTTTATCATAGAAGAAAAAAACGATGTTTTCATTTGGAGGAGAGTAAGAGAATTTTTCCTCTTTTCACTCTATAAATCCTTGAAAATTATCGCATTCCCACAATACATTTTTTTTTCAACAATTAAATTACTAAAATGTAGCTTTCAGAAAGAAAAAAAAGAAAAGCCCCCGAATGACCTTCTCCATCGAATTTCATTTAATCACCTTAACTGTGCATAATGCTTTTTTTTTCTGCTTTTCCTAGCAGTAACCAAGAAAAAAGAAACGAAACGACAAATGCATAGCTATTCTCAATTCATCCTTCTAGGCCCAGCTTCATGTTGTTTTGTTATATTAATTTAGGCCCATTTGTAATATATATCAGAATTATTCAACATTTTGCATTCATTTTTCGGAATCTTTTGAATTTTCAAATACAAAAAAAAAAATGTAAAGAGAAAAAGAGCAGTGTGGTTGTTATTTCATTTGCTACTTTGAAATTCCATAATTGTGGCTCGTTTTGATTTGTAATTTAAGTCTTTCAAATAGATATAATGAGAGCTTGTTTTTAAGGACAATTGGAAAGAAAATATGGTTGCATGGTACGATTATTATTTTGTCATTTTGCAAAGGATGGAACCGGAAATTTGAGGAAAATATGTGGTGAAAGAGGAAGAAGACTCAGCACTTCACCCTTATAAGTGGTCGTTGAAGTCGACCAAACGATACAGCCAAAATTTTTCCATTCTTAGCGCCCCTTAAGGGGCATTTATATACATTTCATATCCGGTCAACACCTAATTCACCGGTTGAAGTTTGCTATAGTGAAAAAAAGCTAAAACACGCTATTTCGTTCGATAGATTACATGGTACGAGAAATGGTATCAGTGGTAGCGATGGTACCTTTTCTGGTAGAATGGCATTGCAAATTGTTACGAAGAAATCAGAACCCATTACATCAACATCCTTATCACATATGATACCATCAAGATCACCGGAAAGGACAGGATCACGTTCTTCCACTTCTGTATCATCCAATGTTAGTCGTTCACCACGTCTAAGAAGTAAAAGTAAAACAAGAAGTACGTCGTTGCAATCACTCAAAAATGTACTACAAGATAACACAACAACAACAACAATAGCAACGACTACATCTGCTGCTGCTGCTGCTGCTGCCATATCATCAAAACGTTTGGTCCGGAAAGGTTTAGATGTTTCACCGGCAATGATGGAATTTTTTGGAATGAAACCAATTACGGGTTCAAATGCATGTTTTCAATTCATCGAAGAACGTGAGCTACCACCATCCAGAAAAAACAAAAGATATGGAAAATTACGAGAAAGTAACAATCTTTCAGCTCCTATGAGTGATGACAATGATGGTGATCGATCGGATAAAATGGCTAAAAGTCAACATGTAAGACATTTAGGTGAGCCAGGGCCAGAGCATTTGCCTGGAGTGGAAAGTGGAAAGGAAACGAATGATGATGACCTTTATATGGAGGATAATGAGGCGCAAATAATGGTGAAGAAAGAGATGGAATTAGATCGAATGAAGGGTAGTAAATTGAGAGAGGAAACGAGACGATTAGCCAAGAATGGTTTAAGCCATAACTATCAACAAACATATGAGGCTGGTCCAGAATATTTCAGTAATACAGCTGGTGATGGTGAGGATGGAGGAAATAAGATAGAGGATGAGATATTGGGAAAAAAAGAATGCACCAATAGCGATAGCTTATCATCAATATTGGCTATAACAAGTCATGCAGTGGGAGCAGTGGGAGCAGTAGGAGCAGCATGCAGTAATGCAGTATGCGATATAGCAGAAGGCGGAGGCATCGGAGGAGGTCCATCGATGATGGTGACAACAAATGCGACAGCGGATGCGATGAAATCATCAGTTGGAGAAGTAGCAGCAGTAGCAGTAACAGCATCAGCAGCAACAACAGTAGTAACGGTAACAACAACAGCAACAATACCGATAACAGGAATATCAATGGATGCCGGAAACGGTGGCACATTTGGAAGTATACTCATCAAAGGCGTGCAAATTATTAACGATGATTCAATTTATATAGCAGATGTACTCATTCAAGATGGCATTATTCGGTAAAAGCTAAGCTAATTTCATTATTTATTAAAAAATTTTCACAAAAAATGATTTTGCTATGCGTGGAATAGATACTTGTTGAATTTCATATTCATAAATTTAAATATGGAAAAATTGATTCAATCAGACTGAATGATAAATGTTAGTTAGAATGACATATAAATTCTTCTTTTTTCTTTTATTACAATTAGAATATGATAATTAAGATAAATTTTGAATAAATGGGTAAGTTTTAAAATAAAAAAATTGAAAAAATAATCTGCGAGAAGGATAATTAGATTAAGTTTGAAAGGTTTGAAAAGCAGCTAATTAGCTGATTAATACTGGTAGTTCCATTTTGATCGCAATATTCACTGCATCCGATAAAAGTAATTAATATTAAGAGAGTTGTCCACTAAGATCGAGGGACCGCAAGGAGCACAGATTATCGATGGAACCGATAAAGCATTAATGCCCGCAGGAATCGAAATTCATACGGAATTCTCATCACTGGATTCTGTTGATAACTTCGAAACCGGTTCAAAAGCTGCCTTAGCTGGTGGCACTGCTACGGTACATTGTATTTCCCTTCATTTATTTTTAAAAGAAATTTCTCCCTGAAAATACAGAGGCATTCATGCATTCAATGAATTATTGTATATATTAAGTTTACTTTATGAATATCCTTCCAATTCCTCAATTAATTCCTAATAGTTACATCGTTAATTTTAATTGAAAATTGAATTTCTTGCAAAATTTTTAAGTACAAACAATTAGATTACAGTAATCGTTCTTCATATTACTTTATACAATTATAATGTCATTTTGATTAACAATGTTCCTATTCGCCTTTTTCATATTGATTGAAATTTAGCAAAAAAAAGAAACATCAATAATGTTTTTTTTCTTTCATTTTTATTTATTTTATTTTTCAGATAATTAATGTTATCCGACCAAGACCGCATGAAACATTACTAAATGCATATGATCGTTTATGCAAAATTGCGCAATCAAAATCATTGTGTAATGTTGCATTCAGTATGGTAATTTCGGAATGGAACGATATGATAAAGAAAGAAATGAATACGTTAGTACATGACAAAGGCATTAACAGTTTTGTTATTAATATCCAAAAGGATGAACAACTTTTTGAGGTTAATTGTTTACTC